TGCCTGGATCCAGCTCCTGGCATCTGGGAATGCTGTGCCATCACGGGAGCATACAGTCCCCGCCTTCAGGGGATTCACCAGCTTATAACTGAGATGACACATAGAAACACACACTGAAAGATGAGACATATAAACACATATACCAAGTGTGCAAGTACAGTAGGAAGGAGAGAACTTTGTAAAGATGTGAGGAAAGTTTCATGTGAGTTTAGTGAAGTTTGGGGAAAAGAGCAGGATCTAAGGGGCTGAAGGGAGGAGCAAGGGCCCAGACCAAGCAGAGGCAATGTGTGCAGCCGGGAGGGGGAAGCGGGGGCAGGAGGGGAGGCTGGAGTGGAGGACAGGGGGTGAGGGATGAGGCCCCAGTTGAGCTGTCAGTCTGGCTGGAGGGCAGGGAACATGACATACGGAGTATGAAACGAGGTGACAATGGGCATGAGCCATTTCCATGTTCATTGCAGATTTAAGATTTTTACCTGCTGAGAACTAGGCGCAACGGAAAGTTCTGGAGCAGGAGCACTAACACGACACGGGTGTACTTTACAAACTCAGACACAACCTGACGTAGTGAGAGAAATGGACATTTACAAACAAGCAAAGAAGCCAACACACAATAAAGGGGGTTCATGGAGATCAGCTGAGAGGACACTGCACTATTCTGGGGTACAGGGTACACCAACCTAAATCCTGGTGGTGGCAGGAAAACTGATGTGAGAGAAAGCTGAGATTCATAGAATTAGGGAACTGGAAGGAACAACGTCCTCAGGCTGAAAGCCTTTTCGGGACTGGTAACCTGCATGCAAATAGGAAAATCAACAGAACTAAGGAGTTTTCCCCTTCAGGAGGAGCTCAGAGGAGATAGAGATCTCTGGGTTGATATATTCCTTTCTCGAATCTGTTCTCTGCACCTACTTTGAGAGGCTAAGTGGATGACTGCAGAAAGAAATCCAGTAAGCACCTGGCTTTGCTTAGAACTTGCTTAACTAGTTTATGATAACGCGAAACTATTGGTCACTTATTTTCTGCAAGCTGGTCTTGGCAGTCTGCTCAGCTGTCCTCTGAATGACCTCACAGATCTGCAGACCATTCTTCACATCTGCCCTGACCAATGAGGGAAGGGAATTCCCATCTGGAGATGAGCTTCTGGCCTGGAGTTTAGCTCTGAAAGGGCCACAGTATGTAAGGCACAACTCTAGATCTGAAACTTGCTATGCTTTGATATATAAAGTGACAGAAAGTCTTTGGGTAAGTGTCAGTGGTAAATTCCCACGTGGATGACCTGAATTCTATGAGATCTAGAAATCAAGGTGCCCATTTCTCACTCAGTCCTTAATGGTGGCATAGTCTACATAAGTTCTGTCTCACACATCTGGAGTGGCCAGTCTCCTAAGTAAACCAAAATATCACAGAGATCAAACTGCTTCATAATAACAGAAAGTACTATCTGTCGAAACACATTGCTTAATCAATGCTCCCCAGCATGTCCTCGGAAGCTACAAAATTAAATTAACACCGTTAGGAAAAGGATCGAATGTGTGCGCGCACACACACTCCACAACCGATCCCCAAATACAACACGCTTCACAGACTCTGTCAACACGTTAGCCAACACATGGTAATAACATTTTCAAACACTTAGCTTTTAAAAAGTGAATGAAGCTACTTTTAGTCATTAAAAGGAAGGATGTGTGATGTACAAAGCAGAATATAACTGCCCGGGTTGGAATATAATCTGGTTACGGAGTTCTCATTGCCTCCCTCCAGGGGTGTGGTGACCAGTCTCCAAAGACGGGTCCCCAACAGGTCCTCCCCGCCCTGAGGCACAGACCCAGGAGACGGAGAGCCTCTGGGCTCCCTTGATGCTGGCTGGGTCTTGTGATTTGTGCCGAAAGTGACATTCTTGGACTTTCAAGCCCAGGTATTAGGCTGACAGTCTCTACTTTATCTTGCAGAAGCACACACCCATGTGAAAAATTGGACTACCCAGCCAGAAAGAGGTCTAGGGGTCAGGGAGGCCTAGAGCCCTGTGGGTCAGTGGAGCCGAGTTGCATTCCTGGCTGGATGCACCTGCATGACTGAGTGAGCTCATGCAGAAACAGCAGATGACACCCAGCCACCCCACAGAATCATGTGCCGCTTCAAGCCACTAGGTGTGGGGCACTTTGTTATACTGAAACAAATGGTATCAAATGGCATGACAAATGGGTGACAAATGGTATCAAATGGGGGTGGTTGTGCCTCAACCCATGAAGGCCATGGAGGCCACAGTGCGATTCCCAGCCAGGGCATGTGCCGAGTTTCAAGCTCCATCCCAGTAGGGGCTTGTAGGAGTCAGCCGATCAGTGATTCTCTCTCATCACTGATGTTTCTTTCTCTCCCCACTCCTCTCCCTTCCTCTCTGAAATGAATAAAAATACATTTTAAGAAGAAAAGCTCTCAAATGGTTAAAAGTGGTCCATCCAGATCTATCACTCACCTGTGACCAACTGTGATCACATTGGGCATTGTATTTTACACTTCCATGGCTTGCAAACAAATTTCAATGGAGAAACATAGATAGGACCTGCTCTTGTTATGTTCAAGCACTAGCATCCAGTAGTAGCCTGGACACTGTGCAACCCTGGGCTCTGACAATTCTCCCCCTAGGCCCTTGTAGGACAAGAAAAAAATATCCCCTGATTGGTTTAGGGAGCTCTCTCCCTCCTTGTATTCCTGCAAATGTTTACTAGAGAGAACAACGAGGTGACAAAAGCAGGAGTGAATAACACTTCATAAGTGTATTAGGAGGATAAGAAAAGTTAGCAGAGGCCTCAGCTGCACTTTATGGCCTGGGCGTGGATGGCATGGAGCCGTACAGACTGGGCAGGCTCGGGCTGGACTGGATTATCAGCCTCAATTTTTGACCCTCACACCCTTGCCATCAACGCACTGTGGCTGGATGTACTTCTCTGTCTCTTGTCTCTGAAACTGTTCACATGACCTGGCTTGAGTGTTGGTACCAGTGCCAGCGTGCCAGCTCTAAGCCCAGGCTTAAGAGGCACCCTATATATCGCTTGCGTATTTACCCTTCGCAAAAGGAGGGCATGCCCCCTTGGCCCCTGGTCCCAGGAGGAAGATGAAAGACCTGGGGCAGAGCCACTCCAGCTGACCCGCCAACTTGTGACGGAGAAAGACGTGCTCATTGTTGAATGCCGCTGAGATCTGGAGACAACAGCCGCCCAACCCGAAGCTCCTTTATTCAATACTGACATTTGCAAAATATAAATGGTACGTCAGGGCCACAGAAAGTCTCCTCGGCTGTAAAAGTTGTAACTAAGTTAGCGAATGGATGTTTAGGTTCCAATGAGCCATCTTCCCCGAAACTGTGGTTTCAATGATGTAGATTCTAATTTTATTAAGATGCTATGTTCCTGTTCTCCATAGCTCTCAAGCCTATGGAGTCAACACTAGAAGCAATTTGTTCCAGGAAACTAGTACTGCTTTTTTAATTTTTTTTTTTAACTTTTATATTTCTTATTGATTCCAGAGAGGAAGGGAGAGGGAGGTAGAAACATTGATGAGAGAGAATCATCAATCGGTTGCCTCCTGCACGGGGATATTTTTTCTTGTCCTACAAGGGCCTAGGGGGAGAATTGTCAGAGCCCAGGGTTGCACAGTGTCCAGGCTACTACTGGATGCTAGTGCTTGAACAGGGCATGTACCCTGACAGGGAATTGAACTGTGACCTCCTGGTTCAGAGGTCGATGCTCAACCCACTGAGCTACACTGGCCAGGCTAGTACTTCATCAAGAAACAAAATCTTCCCCCATCCCCCCACCCCATGTATCGATACACTGGTCCACCGCAAGCAGAGCACTGGCGCTGCCACAGCACTCCCAACTCTTCACCAAGGGCCTGAACCAAACAGGACCCTGGACCAAAGCCGAGGGGCTGTAGAGGCAGTAGAACTGTGTGACAATGACTGCGTGGTGCAACTCCAGCTGATTGCATGCGAACATTATTTCAACAAGGTTCTTGATCAAACACGAGATCAAGAGGTGCTTTTATGAATACAAGTGCCGTGCAAATGCAACTAGTGGGTATTACTGATCAAGTAACTCAACAAGTAACTCAACTGCTCCAGCTGCCTTGTCCTAACACATAGACAATGGGTTTTTACTAGCACACAGACAATACTTCATCGGAGCGGTACTTGATCTTCCAAAGAACAAACTGAAGATTAGGTGAACTCAAAAGCCTAGGAGTGGCCAGGCAGGCAAAGCCATGAGCAGTGAGTGAACTGACCGCCAAGGAGGCTTAGCGGGTCACTGAGGTGGCAGCCAGATGAAGAGGAAATGGCCACCCACCCCGCCATCCACACACTTAACGCCAACAGCTCCGTTTTGAAAATGAAATCTGTTCCAATAAGCACGGTCTTTATAATTATCTAAAGCGTGTGTATACATTTTTGAGGCACACCCTATATTTGCAGGCCAGATTTGCCCTTAAGCCAGCAGTTTGTAAACTTCTCACTAGATATTCTACAATCACCTTAAAACACCATAGAAAGGCTGAAAAATTATTATTCAATTCATTGTATTTGTGAATCAGAAATGTTATCATTCACATAAAGAGTAACTATCTATTAACCCCCCAAAATACCTCACTCTCTCATTTATTAATCCTCACTCTCTCCATTTTTGGACCTGTTTTCAGGCTTATGGTTTTACTAGGACACCCCTGGGATGCTGCCCCAGACACCTATTTACATCCTACTGAAAACTTGATTTAAATGCTAGCTTTGGCATAAAATCCCCATGGTCCTCCGTGAAGTCGTCTGTGTATACATTATAATGAAAACTGTCCAATGTATGAAATCTGCATTGACTTCTCTCACATCTCAACCCTTTCCCAACACCCCTCTTCCCCCAATGGTATAACATCATAAACACTACAGGGATTCACTCCCTCGAAAGTGAAAGGCCTGGATCAACAGGTCAAGATTGAAGTTCAAGGGCACTCACCGCCAAACACATCTCCGTTCTGGTAGTTTTTCCCTTTCTGGGCTTCCTCTTCATTTTGAACAGTGGCAACATGCTTGGCGGAGGCACAGCCCATAGTCTCATTCGCTCAGCTTCAGCCGGGCTGAACTGCAAATCATCTCTACAGACACGGGGACATTTTTCTTCGCTTTAAACACCAAGAAAATCCGCCTTCCTGCTGGGTCGGTCAAGAGGCGCGCACCTGCAAGAAGCCAAAGCTAGATCAGAATGAGGGAGACAAAACCCACATCTGGGTGTCTTGCTGTGCTGTGGGACCAGCAATGTTACCAGGGTTCCTGCCCGGCCTGCCTGTGCTGGGGGTGGCACTGAGCCCTGCAGAACGCAATGCAACATGGACCATCCCACCTGATCCCTGCTCAGCAAGCAAGAGTAGAAGGCACGGCCCCCACTCCACACGTGGCTGAAGTCTTTAAGGAAATAAAAAATATATTCATTCATTCATTCATTCAAATAAATATCATTCATTCATTCAAATAAATATCTGAGCACTATTACTTGGCAGACACATGAAGCACGTTTGCTAATGATCTGGAGTATCAGAAGCCTTCAGAGGAAGGAAAGCATGCTCGTGAGATGCACTTCATTTGGGCGGCTGCAAAGTTCTTCTTCCCCATCCTGCCCTGCAGGCCTGACCTCAGGATTTTGCCAGGAGGAGGTGGCCTTCCTCCTTGGCTGGGCCAAGGACTAGTTTACACTTTCCTGGTGCAAATAACTCAGCATTTTATTTGACCGGAGATGACACTGTTTTGGAGGATGAATGGGCAAGGTCTTCAATTTAGTTTTGTCCATTTTCTGCTTAGCTAGCTAGCAGAAATATTTTAAGGGTTGAGCAATGTAGGCATGTGAAGAAAATAAAGCAGTTGTCTATCTCTTTCAGAGTCTTGTGCCTTAATTTGATCGCTGATGAACCACAAAGGAGATAATCCCCTGGGTAAGGGAATTTACCTTCTCCCACCCCATCCAAGGTCATGGCCCACATTCTCAGGGTTTGCTCTGCTTGCGCATGCGCACGCTTTTTGGCGGGTCCAGAGGAGGCCCTGCTAACTTTAGCCAACTTAAAGATAAACTATAATATGTTATAAGATATAGAAAGTCATTCTCATTCCAAAATTTTGTGTAATAAAACATGGGGTCTCTTTATTTTTAAATTTATTGGGGTGATACTGCTTAATGAAATTATACAGGTTTCAAGTGTACAATTCAACGATACGTCATCTGCATATTGCATTGTATGCCGGCCACCCAAAGTCAAACCTCCTTTCGTCACTGCACACTTTCTGATCCCAATCTGAGCATACCTTGAGAGATATTAGTAGTGTCCAAATCCATTCTGTCAATCTATCATGGTTTTCCAAGAAACATCATTGAAACATGAGACAAGAAGAATGATAGGAGTTGGATCCAATTGTGAGGGTAGGAGAAGGGGGGACAGTCCTAATCAGATGGCTACTAAGGGTTGTCGTGATTGCTGCTGCTGCTGCTGCTGCTGTGGTCTGCATTCCCATCAGCATTTCTCAGGGGAGGCATCCCCTTTCTCCAGACCTCCAGCATCACCAGGGAAGACCACAGGTGTGGGTTCCCAGAATGCAATCCTTCCTTTTTAAAAAGGAATGTGGAGAAAACAACTCACACATAGGTGAGCAACCCAACTTTGGAGGAGAAACCTCACTTGCCTCTCTGTCTGTTGCCACTTCTTCGGAATAAACAAAGTGAAAACGGGAGGGAGAGTGGGAAACCCTAACACAATTCCCAAAGAACAGGGGGAATCCCAGGACAATTTGCAGCTGTCTGCTCTGGGATTCTCTCTTTCCTCACAGGGAGTATATGTAAGGATCTCAGACGTGAATTATCCTTTGCTACCTACCTCTGAGAAACACGGTGCAATGTTTTAAAGTTGTGTTTGTATCAAAAATCGTACTTGATTTCAAAAAAAGTTGAAAACATATGAAAATCAAATTCATGGCAGCAAGCTAACAAACATAAAACATTTAAGAATAATTTTTAAAGGACTTCTCCTTTATTCATGCATGGAGCTCCTGAGGGACATGCTACCACCCAGATTAGATGTGATTTATATTCAATTCAAGTGATGACTCAGGAAGTTCCCATGTATTATATTTAAAAACACAAACACTATTGCTCAATAGGAGCACTCTCCACATCATCAATAGGTATAGATTTTGTTTTTGAAACACAGACACTATATATTTTACAGCGGTAATATAAAGAGTCATGCTTTTAAATTTTATATCATCAAACTATTTATTAATATCTTGCCCCATTTTGAAGGTGTTATAAAAGTCATTTGAGAGGCATAAGATCTCCGTAAAGATGATGGATCACTGGGGAAAGTGTTTTACTATGCCATTTGCATTCTGCACATAAACAATCATCCAATCACTCATTCATTTAATCAACAGATATTCACTGAAAACTACTGACAGACATGTGTTTGGTGTGTGTTGGGGATAAGCCAGGATAGGGTTTTCCTTCCAGTCCACACAGAATACGAACAGAGAAAGGAGATCATTAGAAATGTTAGGGGCAGAAATAGAACATTGGGGACAAGATATTATAAGAAATATCAGCTGAAACCGGTTTAGCTCAATGTATAGAGCGTCAGCTTGGGGACTGAAGGGACCTGGGTTTGATTCCGGTCAAGGGCATGTACCTTGGTTGCGGGCATATCCCCAGTAGGGGGTGTGCAAGAGGCAACTGATTGATGACTCTTTCTCATCGATGTTTTTAACTCTCTATCTCTCTCTCCGTTCCTCTCTGTACAAAATCAATAAAATATACTTAAAAAAAGAAAAGAAATATCAGTCATGATGGTTCTGTTCTGATGAGAGAAAGCACATTCTAAGCAGGCTGAGGGTTGTACGCCCTGGGACATGGGAGCTAACCAATAATCTGCTCAAAAACATTTCCCTGCTGAAACTGGTTTGGCTCAATGGATAGAACGTCAGCTTGGGGACTGAAGGGTCCCAGGTTCGATTCCGTCAAGGGCATGTACATTGGTTGCAGGCACATCCCCAGTAGGGGGTGTGCAAGAGGCAGCTGATCGATGACTCTCTCTCATTGATGTTTCTAACTCTCTATCTCTCTCCCTTCCTCTCTGTACAAAATCAATAAAATATATTTAAAAAATTACAAAAAACAAAAAAACACATTTCCGTTTGCTTTGTACTATCCTTCACACAAACCCTAGCACAACTTTTTTTTTTTTTATCAACCTTTTTTTTCCATTAGCTTTGCTCAGCCTTTCCCTCCCAACCCCCACCCCCTCCATTCATTTACCCTCTTGAAGCCACACCACTTAGAGAGGTAAGTCTGATGGTGCAAAGGCACCTGCCGAGACCACAACGCTAGGCAGATCTGAGAGTCTCGTTTTCACATATTGTTGTGAACAACATGCTATTTCTGAACTCACAGATCACAGCATGAGAATTAAGCTGGAACATTTCTTTGATGTCTGATGGAAGCTTTGAATACCAAGACCCACTGACGATGCTTTTTTATTTTAAACTAAATAATCTATGTGATAGGATCCACCAGCTCCTCTACAACCGTGGGGTGTAATGAACCGCCATGGCTTTGTGTACAAGTTTCTCCAAATGGTTGTATGGCTACATAACCTGTTCCCTGTAATAAGAAGTTCTATCTTCACACATATACACCTGTGTGTGTGTGTGTGTGTGCACAAGTTCTACTCTCTTAGCAAATTTCAATGATACAAAAACAGTATTATCATATAGGCACCATATTATATTTATATACATTAGATCTTCACATTTTATTTATCTTCTAACTCAAAGGGGACAAGGTTTGTACCTTTTTACCAGCCTCTCCTTATCCAACACCCCCACCCCCAGCCTCTGGCAGCCACCATTCTCTACTCTCTGTTTCTAAGAGTTTGAATTACGTGATATTATGCAACCACACAGTGTTTGTTTGGCTTTTTAAAAATTATTATTATTTTTTTTTTTACTTAGCATTATGCCCTCAAGGTTCATCCATGTTGTAAATGACAGTATTTCCTTCTTTTAAAGGAAATATATCACATTTTCTTGATTCGTCATCTGTTGATTGACACTTAGGTAGTATCCATACCTTGGCTTCTATGAATTATACTGCAATGAACACGGGAGTGCAACTCTCTCTTCCAAATAGCAGCACCCTTGCCTTTGTATATGCATCACAAGTGGAATTGCTGACTGCTCTTTTCTTTACCTTAATGTTTTGAACTAGAGAAACAGTTTCATCAAAAAAACGACTTTTATAAAATTGGGAAGGAAAAAATAAGCAACATCTGTATTTAAAAAAATCAAAGAGATATCTGACCCTATTTAAAAAAAAAAAAAAAACAATCTATGGGAAAATATGCATATTTATGTAATTTCACTTTCCAACAATCAGTCAGGGACTTTTCCCATTTTTGGATAGAAAAGCCAAACATATTACAGCTTCCTTGATAAGAAAGATACTTCTAAAAAATGAATTAAAAGTGGAAAACTCCATAAAGACATCATAGGCCAGAAAGAATATGAATTTTCCACATGCAGCGTAGAGGACTGAAGAAAAATCAAATTCTGATTGCAATGGGCACACTGAAAGCTGTGAAGTCAGCAGTTAAGGAAAAGAGGAACTCAAAGTCACTAATCATCTGAAAGATGCAAATCAAAATGACAATGCAGTACCATCTCATACCTGTCAGAATAGCTATCATCAACAAATCAACAAATGACAAGTGGTGGTGAGGACTCAGAGAAAAAGGAACCCTCTTGCACTACTGATGGGAATGCAGACTGGTGCAGCCAGTGTGGGAAAACAGTATGGAGTTTCCTCAGAAAATTAAAATTGGAACTTCCATTTGACCCAGTAATCTCACTTCTAGGAATATATCCCAAGAAAACAGAAACACCTGTCAGAAAGGATATATGCACCCCTATGTTCATAGCGCAATTTACAATAGCTAAGATTTGGAAACAGCCTAAGTGCCCATTAAAAGGTGAGTGGATTAGAAAACTGTGCTACATCTACACAATGGAATACTAT